CGTGCCTGGCAGTCTCAGCCTTCAGTAATGACATTTACCACTTCCACGACAACCCACTGTCAGAAACTGTGATATCCTGGAATACATATGCCTTCAGTAATGACATTTACCACTTCCAGACAACCCATGTCAGAAACTGTGCTATTCTGGAATACATATGCCTTCAGTAATGACATTTACCACTTCCAGACAACCCATGTCAGAAACAGTACTATCCTGGAGTGCATACCTTCAGTAATGACATTTACAACTTCCAGACAACCCGTGTCAGAAACTGTGCTATTCGGGAATACATATGCCTTCAGTAATGACATTTACCACTTCCAGACAACCCATGTCAGAAATTGTAATATCCTGGAATACATATGCCTTCAGTAATGACATTTACCACTTCCAGACAACCCATGTCAGAAACTGTGCTATTCGGGAATACATGTGCCTTCAGTAATGACATTTACCACTTCCAGACAACCCGTGTCAGAAACTGTGCTATCCTGGAATACATATGCCTTCAGTAATGACATTTACCACTTCCAGACAACCCGTGTCAGAAACTGTGATATCCTGGAATACATATGCCTTCAGTAATGACATTTACCACTTCCAGACAACCCGTGTCAGAAACTGTGCTATCCTGGAATACATATGCCTTCAGTAATGACATTTACCACTTCCAGACAACCCATGTCAAAAAACTGTACTATCCTGGAGTGCATATGCCTTCTGTAATGACATTTACCACTTCTAGGTTCCACATTTAAAAGTATAGTGTGTACTGTAATGCAACATATTTCAATGCACACTGTGGGTTCAGAAGTTAATGACATAATGCAATTTTACTTAGGATTCGATATTTAGTTAATATTTAACATTAATATTATGAGATTATTTTAGTTTAGAAAGTGAGTTTTTAATATCATGGAATTACTTTAGTTGAGAAATTTGATGTAGTATTAAAACTTGAACACTGTATAGTATCTCTTCCTTACTAAGAAATTGAAGTCAATGTAAGTAGGAATGGAGAATGAAATGTCTGACTACTACACTGCTCTTTGAACTATCAGACCAAATATTTGACTCCCGGTAGTGTAGTTTTGGGTCTTGACAAAAGAAATATACAATCAGAACCTAATATAATAACCACTCAGATCAAACTAATTACAAATAGGATCAGAATAGTGGACAATAACTGTTTACAAACAAAGACAGCTGGTAAATCTACTTCAAAGCAGTCTCTACTAGAGAAATGAAACCAGCATTAACATATGAACTGTATAATTACAATGAAGAGTTGAATAATAAGCTAGAAATAAAACATGCCACTCTCTCTCTCTCTTTAAAGACACAATGTTGGATAAGTATGATAAAATTACTTTAGAAAAGAACTGAACCGATATGTGTATTAATTACTTCAAGTTCTTAATAGTAAAAACACTGGAATTCCAATATCTAGTATTTATAATTTATGTAATACTTGAATGTAAGGCCTACATTTTTCACTCACTATGGAAGTTCTTGATAACAAAAACACTGGAAATCAAAGATCTAGTACTTGTAACTGATGTAATACTTGAACGTAAGTCTGGCTTTTCCATTTTGCATGTAACAATTTTGCTGTTCCATATTTTACATGGAATACACTAAGCCATATATTTTCTGTTGGCATTTAACAGCTAACTAGTAAATCGTTTGATTACTAATACTTAAAATCAACAAGTTTTATCTTGTCACAATGATTTAGAATAACCTCTATTATTCCTATACTTACGGTCAGCAATTATAGCACTGAACATACATTGGTCACTCCAGACTGGAAGAGCTGCATCAGCAACAATAACATCGAGATAATGGGATTCAAGACCATACTGTCTCAAGTTGGATCTAATGTTTTCATCTGGTTCTCTTTTCTTTTGGTTGCACCGAGTAGGTTTAGCTTTTAAGGAAAAAAAATACATATTCTTTGTAAATACAGTGACTGGTCATTCAAATACTAAAGATACTTATAACTCACATCATTGTGTATATACTTCGAATATCTACAGTGTGTATAACTCATAGCATTTTGTATCTATTTCCAATATTAAGTGTATATAACTCATAGTATTGTGTATAAATTTCAATTTTAAGTGTATATAACTCATAGTATTGAGTATATATTTCAATATTAAAAATGTACATAACTCATAGTGTTGTGGAAATATTTCCAAATCAACATCCAACTATAAAAATTCAACTAACACTACCAAGACTAATAATCTCTATTTTATTGATACTGACAAGTGCTAACTTACAGGTATTTTTAATTCTGTCTGGTAAAGTTTTGATGAAAATTCAGATGTAAATATTTAAGTGAATTTATCAACATGTTTTAACAATAATATATATAATTTTAAAAGCTAGATATTCTTAATTAAATGTATAGAAGAAACTTCTGAAAATACTACACAAATAAATTGAATCATTACTGATTATATATTTTTCTGAAATTTTGTGCAGACAGTTTCAATTATTTGATGTTCATAAAAATACTTTATTAATACTTTACAGGATTAGTTAATTAGTTCAATATAAATAAATATTAAATGTTTTACTTTGTATCCAGCAGTTCACACCAATCAATATTCAATATAAATAAATATTAAATGTTTTACTTTGTATCCAGTAGTTCACACCAATCAATATTCAATATAAATGAATATTAAATGTTTTACTTTGTATCCAGCAGTTCACACCAATCAATATTCAATATAAATAAATATTAAATGTTTTACTTTGTATCCAGCAGTTCACACCAATCAATATTCAATATAAATGAATATTAAATGTTTTACTTTCTACCCTGTAGTTCCTTTCAGTCACTGTCCAATATAAATAAACAGGGGATGTTTTACTTTGCACACTGTAGTTCCTATCAGTCACTGTCCAATATCAACAAACGGGATGTTTTAATTTGTACCCTGCAGTTCCTATCAGTCACTGTCCAATATAAATAAACAAGGAATGATTTACTCTGTAGTTCCAAACGGCCACTGTCCAATATAAATAAACAGGGGATGTTTTACTTTGTACTCTGTAGTTCTTATCAGTCACTGTCCAATATAAATAAACAAGGAATGATTTACTCTGTAGTTCCAAACGGTCACTGTCCAATATAAATACACAAGGGGTATTTTTAGAGATATAAAATATTTTGTCCTGTTTTTAGGTGATAAATATGGTACAAATGAATTACCTTTTTGTCCAGTTTATAAATGCAGTAACTGATATAAAATATTTTTTACAGTTTTTAGTTAATTTATGTTAAATAAATTATACAGTACAATAAAGCAAAGTCCACATACTTAAGACTTCTTTACAAGTAATACTCTCAACACCTTTTGAAGCTTACCTTTTCCATGTACCATTAAGAAATCTAGGTCAGTACCGCACACATACCCACCAAATGTAGCAGCAGCAACAAGTAAACTACCTATTAAAAATAACATACAGTGTTATATTTTAATCTTCCTATCGTTTACTAGAAAAACAAATTTATACAAGGGCATGGTGTTTTAACAAATGAAAGCGTAAAACTTATCTGTTAAATACTTCTATGCAGCTATTTTTATTTTTAGTTCTGGTAACTGGATTTCAGTTACACAATAAAGTACACTCATCAGTACATAAAGTTAGCTTCAAACTAAAAAAAAATCCTTTACATTAAAGTTCTAAAATTTTAGTTATCATTACTTCACCATACCAAATGAGGTGTCCACATGCAAAAACAATTGTGTAACTCATAACAAATTTAGCATACAAAGTAACCTTTAGGTGGTTTATTACTATCAGTTTTTGCACTGCACCACACAAAGTAACCATTAGGTGGTTTATCACCATCAGTTTTCCAGTGTGTCATACAAAGTAATCTTTAGGTGGTTTATTACTATCAGTTTTTGCACTGCATCACACAAAGTAACCATTAGGTGGTTTATCACCATCAGTTTTCCAGTGTGTCGTACAAAGTAACCTTTAGGTGGTTTATTACTATCAGTTTTTGCACTGCTCCACACAAAGTAACCTTTAGGTGGTTTATTGCTATCAGTTTTTGCACTGCACCACACAAAGTAACCTTTAGGTGGCTTATTGCTATCAGTTTTTCCAATGTGTCATACAAAGTACCATTAGATGGTTTATTATTACGTTTTCCCACTACATCATGTATGATGGACTTAGGCTAAATCATTACTAATGTTTAGCGGCTTCTATCATTTGGCAGGTTCTTCAATAAAATACATAAAGCCCAGTGAACTTAATGATAACAAAAAGGTTTTATTTGCTGGACTTCCAGTTAGCTTAACCCTTTTGCAACAGGTTCCTGTATTTTACACAACTTCAGAACCATCATGAAACCATAAAGATATATATACTATAACTCTGAAAGTATTTAATGTATGTTCACAAAATCTGTGAAACTTTTAGTAAACACTACTAGCCTTTTGTATACAAAAAATAAGTTTTTTAATTAAGTATCTTTACTGAAAATTTGTCTGTGAATACAAAAAGACAGTGTTGATTGCTCCGAGTGCAAAGTGATTTTGATGTTAAGATTAAAAATACTTTTGTTGATCTAAAAATTTTGAAAGTTATAATTATCCTATATCAAAAATGTATTTCCAATAGGTAATTACCTCCTCTCACATAAATTGCTATTCTTGTTCAGTGCTGCCCTCTATATACAAAAATATTTTTTGCACATGCCACAAGCCTTGAATCTCCCACATCTGGAAATGACTCATTTCAATGTATTTTTTATGCAAATCATCAAGTAACAACCCTCCCCTCTCTTGACGCATGACTCCCTCTATTCAATTCTACTGAACTATCATTTCGAGTTTTGACAGAAAATTGAAGCACTGGTTTTCAGTGGGGAGGTAAGTATCTATCAGAAATACATTTTCAGTATAGGAAAATTATAACTTCCGATACGGATTACCTCTTCTCACATAACAGCTAGAATCCCATACTGAAAGGATGAGGGACCGGTGCAAGGTAAAGAAAGCATCCTTCTAAAGCATCTGAAGGTCATCCCCCAAGAGGAGATCTTTGAAATCAAAGATCTGATGTAGGAAACTGCACCACTTCTGAACCAGGTATACTCTTCACCTATTGTGGAAAGATGTTGCATATATGGGTGGAAAACAGAGGAGCACATCCAAGTGGGAGAGAACTATAGCAGGATAGGGATCCAACCCATATGATAATTATGCAACTCAATCCCAGAAAACATAAAAGTTGGTAACATTAAAAGGATGTGCCCCAAGGTGCAGAATGGCTAGGGTGCGACAGACTGTACATGGCAAGTCAAGTAGATCCAAAACCGATTCTGCTGGGAACCAACACCCATGTGGAGGTACGAAAGAGGATCATATCGTCTTCACCTCAAGTTCATGAGACTGGAGGAAATCTAGTACCCCCCAGTCCATGAACAGGGCACATGATAATGTGAGAAGTTGACTGATTGATCCAGGAACCCGACATTTGGCACCAAAAAGATTTCTGCTTAATGTAGAGCATCTTCAAATTTTAAATTGACAGGAACTGCCCCAAGCACAGTAACATCCTAGGAATAATAAGAACATCAAGTTGAGGTATAGAGGAAGGGGAAGAACCATAGTAATCTGCAAGTACCTCCACCGTGATCCACAATACAGATGGAGTAACAAGAGTATAAATGAGTGAGGGAATAAAGGTATCTGTAATACATGTGTGAGGACTTGTGTTGATTGGTTCAGCTCTAAGTCCAAAACCCAGCTACTGGGAACCAACATCCACTTGGGGGTAGGATGAGGGATCCCAATCAAAGGGTTGAACAGCAATTTTGATGGCTCACTCCACTTATACGTAGTGGAGGATATCATGTAATCTATACCAGGAGAACACAATTGCTCTACTCTCAAATGAATGATTTTATAATCATTTATATATAATATTCATATTTCATTAACACATTTAGGAGGATGCCTCCATTGTCCACCATCCCAGCAGCTTGGAACGGGAAAGTGGTGAGGACTCTCAAACTCCACTAGAAGAAAAGGGGGTAGAAAGTGCAGTGGAGAGTCTGGAGGAATGACAACACCTGAGACAGTGCAATGGGTAACCACAAAACCCTATTCAATACAAAGCATGGTAGGGATGGGCAGCTATCCCCTTCTACTTTACCCATGTAGTACATGGGAGAGTATGGTCTGGGAGGGGCAAATGTATGAAGCAAACTTATCGCAAAGATAAACCTCCAAATGATCTTGTGGAACATTCCATCTCCGCAATGTGCGTTGTGTGGTCATGGAATCATAATATGTAAGTTGACATGGTCTTACCATGTGGATTTGAACAGTTAAAGAATACTTGACACAGAGTGGGAACCAGAAATAAAAAGAGAGACATGCCCCTGAAAAAGAAGAGGTATTTATATATTAAAAGGTAACTTACCCAGTCACTGTCTCATGAAAGAATGAAGGATGGCAATAGGTGAATGACGGTACCTCGACAAAAAAGAAACAGCTACCCAAAGCAGAGAATGGGAGATGAATGTATGAGATGTAGTCCCAGTGCTTGACATACAAAGTACCTCCAACAGATGACAGGGGAGACATGCATGATGGGAGTGAAGACACTAGTAAGTGAAGATGGTAAGAAGGAGACAAGAAAGAAAAGACCAATAGAATCACAATCCAAACCCAATGGGTAAGAGAGGAAGGGGGAAAAAATCATAAACAAAGAAGTGAAGTAAGGAGAGGAAACATGGGAAATGGATTTAATGGAAAGAAGCATTAAAAACAATGAAACAACTCACAACATGTACTGGACAGAGAAGGTCATCTGGATCCCATTGAGAAGAAATGTGGATAATGGTAAGAAAGAAAAAAGTTGAATAAAATATCCTACATGAGCCATTAAAATGTAGGTTAATAAAATTGATCCAGTACAAAAGAAACAAATCGAGCCGAAACAGTCAAGAAAACCAAAGCAGTGCTGGCCACGAAAGATCAATCAGAAAGATCTGAACTGGAGTGACATGGATGCACAAATTTTAGGGAAGAAGACATGGAATAAGTAAAAAACTAATGTAAACCTGTCTGAACTTAATGACAGCCAGAGCAAGTGGATAATGAACCACAGACTAAAAACAAAAAAGGTAACTAACTTGGAAGTGATAAAAGATTCAAAAACTTCATCTGGAAGAATACCCCACAGGAGGCAAAGCCACCAAAAATTAGGAGGATCAGGAGGTTACTCCTTGGGAGAAAATGTGAGGATTGGAAAATCAATTAGCAATGAGGACAAAGTACCTGGTACACGACCCTCCAGGAAACACATGTCAAGTGTGTTGGTTCAAAAAATTAAAAGGACATCCACTGTTTACCTCAAAGGGAACAAGAAAGCGTATCACTTTGGTGAGTGCTATAAGCCACCACTGTCAAAAAGTCTAAATGAAACAGAATCATTGAAACCAGGCAAGAAAAACAGTGTGACTGGTGGAAGTGTCCAGGTGTGAAGGGAATAAGACCTTTCAACTGGACACCATTATCCTGAAGCCTCCTACTAACTGAACCACAACTCCCACCTTTAGAGATGAGCATCAGAGAAGAGAAACAATCCAAAAGAGGGGGAGGAAGTGGTGAATCAGATGTCATGAGGGATATGTTGAACTATCAATGCATAAAGATAAAGAAGAAAATTAAGAGAAAAACCCAAAGTAAAGGCTTGGTTAACAGAAAACACATTCAAATGCATTCAGGGAGGAGAATGGATGGTCTTGATGGAAGGGGTGTTTAAAAATACACCTCACAAAAAGACTAGAATGTGAGGTATGTAACAGGAAAACTTATGCAACTGTAAAATCCAACTACCCAAGCTGACTATGGAAGGAGTAGAAGAGTATGTTGAGACTACTCCAATACGAAAGAAGGTAACCAAAGCTAGACATCCAATGAATGGTGTTGGTAAAATCCCACAAACGTGGAAGTCAGGCAAAATGCAGACCACCCCACAAAAAACATATGAAACCAAAACAAGTCCAAAGATCAAGACACAAAACTGGTACCTAATCACATGGAGAAAAAATTGAAGATAAGAACGTGTACTGGGCATTCCCAATCATGCAAAAAATAGCCTACCCAAACGTGATAAAAACAGGGAAGACCCAAGAAGTGATTGAGGTAGGATCAATCAATCCAGAACCCCAATCAGAGTTAATCAAACAAGACAAGTGAAGAAAACCCATAGGTAAGACAGGTAAAGGATGGACAAGTGCCAAACATATAAAATGAATAGAGATGATAATATCTCAGAGTGAAACAAAAAAACAACTACCCCATGTGATTCTAAATGTACAGGAGTATCCCAAAAAATGGTCCAGTGGATAAAAAGAACTGACTGTTAGACTCTATTGGCAATGGATGGTAAACAGCAGTGTCCCATTCTAGAAGATTCTAAAAGCAAAGAAGCCATGTGTGGAGGGAATGAACTGAAGATGACAAACACCTCAATATGGAGGGAAGGAGGAGGAGTACACCAAGGAAAGGAGATAGAAGGTAAACATGAACTGTAAGAGTGTCGATAGGGTAAAACAAAGCTAAAAAAACTAGGTAGGGGATAAAATGGATAGGATTAACAGAGATGCAAATGACATAAAATCAGGAAGAAAATCTGCCTAATGATAAATTAAGGCAAAAAGAATTAAATCCTGTATAGGGTGAGGCTTGCAAGTACCCATTCTAAAAGGAGAGACAAAAAGATAATCATGAAACAATGTCATGAGAAGGGGAATATACTGTGAAACACGGCTAAAAATTAAGTGAGATAGGCCTAGCAGATTCTGCAGTAGAGGCCTGGAAGGCAATCCATGAGAAGGTGGAGCAAAACTGACAAAATCTAGGTAATTAATGGTAAGAAGTATAAACTATAAAGAAAGACAAAAATGAAACAGTCAATATAATGGAAATGTTAAAGATTGTTTGTTTGTTTGTTTGTTTTTTGAATTTCGCACAAAGCTACACGAGGGCTATCTGCACTAGCCATCCCTAATTTACCAGTGTAAGACTAGAGGGAAGGCAGCTAGTCATCACCGCCAACTCTTTTACCAACGAATAGTGGGCTTGACCGTTACATTATAACGCCCCCACGGTTGAAAGGGCGAGCATGTTTGGTTGGACAGGGATTCGAACTCGCGACCCTCAGATTTTGAGTCAAGCGCCCTAACCACCTGGCCATGCCAGGCTGAAATGTTAAGAAATTGTGTAATGAAATAAACATATGTATGTGACGTTATGTGTCGAACAAAATATATTTAGCCTAATTATCACTTAACCTTTAAACAGAACCATGGGTAAACCGAAAATAACAGATACTTATTAAGCCTAATTGAACAAGATATTTAACCTAACTATTGATTAACCCAGCAGTACAATACAGGTAAACCAAAAATAACAAACTCTTGTGAAGCCTAATTGAACAATACAGAATAAAGGATATCACTAAGCACTAAAATAAAAATTTTAACCTAAAAATAAGTACTTAAAGTATTAGGAGAAACTTGTGTGAACCCTGGCTCAAGGGTTCCACATAAACTATGTGCTTAAGATAAAAGAGAAATAATAACAAAAATGAAATAGACGTGATTGTATAAAATTAAAAAAGTGTGTGGTAACAATAACATATGTATGAGATGTGAGGTATGGAAGAAAAAAAAACAATATAGTTAAACTAATAATTGACATACCAGTAAGATGAATTACAGGTAATCCTAAAATAACAAACTTACAAAGACCATGGTAAGCCTAAGCAAATGATATAGGAGAAACGATACAACTAAGACTAATTGCTAACCTGAACTTAACTATGAGTATTAACCAATCTAATGAGACTTATGTTATGGAACCCAAATAATAATACAGATAATAATATTAACAATAAAATTATTCAAAAACCATAAAAATAAAACATCTTATTTTTCCAAAGTCAGCAGACTGTATTTCAAATGTGTGGGCTCCCAAACTCGAGGCAAGGCCCGACGAAGGTCACTTCATTGGATGATCAATCTCCTGATGAAGTAAACCCAAAACTCTTCCCATGGAGTACCACAGCCTGAAGCCTTTGTAAATGTGCTAATAGAACATATAACCACCAAAGTGGTAAAGTAGAATTCATAATGCAAAATGAATAACCAAACAACACTGTGTTGGCAGAAACAAATGAAAAGTTTTTGTAATGAATAATAAGTTCTGTAACCAGGTAGAAATAAAAAATAATTCCACTTCGGAATAACTCAACAAGTTACAAATATCACTATTGTTTAATAAAAAGTAAACAATTTTTGAGAGCAATTAATACAAAGATATGGAAAAATATTAAAATAAAACACTTCAAGAGAGCACAAACTAAATGTTATAACAAGTACTGCCAAACAAGAAGTGATATTTCAGTAGAATTGAATAGAGGGAGTCAATGTTGCACTCTTATTGGTGAAGGTTTGTTGCATGGTGATTTGTGAGATGCAAATGAATCAGTTGATTCAAAGATGGGTGAGATATTCAAGGCTTGTGGCATGCGCAGAGGTGATGTACAGTATGGGAATTTCATTTGCATAATCTATAATACCTCCTAAAGAAATATCAAACTTTTTTTTCACTAAAACTAACTTTTATCAGTTATTTTCTCTGCTTTAACTCTATACCCAATAGGTCAATTTAACCAACCACATAATCACAACAAAAATATGAAATACATCTAAATTTTTTTTTCGTTCTAGAATTGCTGCAAATTGTAACATGAAACTACAATTGTTTATCCTAAATATCTTAAAGCTCTTAAAAATATACATCAGTTTATATTATTTTTATTATTTTATTACTCTTTGAACTGTGTCTAACTAATAATCCTGCTACATTTAGTCACATGGTAAACATGAAGTTCATGTTACCATAACAAGTTATGTAATGAAAGAGATGCTCGCTAAGAACTTTTATCATTGTTTTTCATTATCTTACCTAATCTAACCTTATCATACCTAATAAGTTTCAAATTTTTACATTTTAGTTACTTGTATAATAATAAATAAAAAGTAAAAAATGATAAACAAGAAATAGTCTACTTAACTGGTTCCTCTTGTTTTTTGCTGTCAACTTTTTATGAAACTTATGTTAATGGCACTACTACACTAAATAATTATTTAATTAAATAATGCACATAAGAAAACAGAATACCAACATGCACAAAGCAAACACTGTCCTATAATTTTTCTGGCTTTCAAAATATGTGCTAAAAACCTTTAAAAATTCAGCTACGTGAGTACCATAAGGAAAAGCTTCAAACTGGAGGTGAAACAATTCTCTGTACAGAATAACAACATAATATATGTCATTTGATAGATTAAAACTCTGGCTTTCTATTGATTATAAATAATATAGTATTAAACATCAGAGAGGACTATTGGCAATTTGTGAAAAAGAGGATGTGGCAGGTGGGTGTGGTAAGTGGGTTTGATTTTCTAGTATATTCTTCCATAAACAAACAAGATTAAAAACTAAAAATCTAGCTTTACCTGAGTAATATCTATATTATAATGAGTAACTTACTTTAAATTCTGTACTTCTCAAAGAGGTGGTAAATAAATTAGAGACGAGGGAAGACTTAGAAAACAAATGTCACAATTCTCGTACTAGGGAAGATTGAGGATTTTTGAAATATTACTTTAAAAAATTAAGAACTTAAAATTTATATAACATTAAAATTTGATTTTTGACTACATTTAGATGCCAAGTTTATTCATATACAATGATAATAATGTAGTTTAAATACATTTTGAATATACCTGTGTAATAAGTTGTGACCTACCTGTTGCAAAAGGGTTAACTAATGCTCATTGATAGATTTAAGTTGATAGTAAATGCTAACACAACAATTTCATTTGCTAATTTTCTCATACATATCACAATTGTTCTATTTTTAAGAATCTATCAAGAAACAAACTCAGTTTTCCCAAAACTGAAGTAAGTGGCTGGCAGTAACAGACAAACTCAGTAATTCAGTAATCAAGCATCCAATATAACAAACTCACAAATCAGTCATCCTATACTCTAGACTAATTAGGGTTTTTGTACTGCTGAAATCATTTTCTAATCTTTCAAGAAGGTTCTAGTTACTAAACCATGCTCATAATGTGACATGAAAACTCGCTCTGACTAAATAACAATACAAATGTCTAAATTAACAAACCACACTACATTTCTTAACTCCAAATCATACATAATATTCATATATAGTTTATTACTATCTGTTTTTCCAATACACCATGTATGATTCTTAACTCCAAATCATACATAATATCCATATATAGTTTATTACTATCTGTTTTTCCAATACACCATGTATGATAGGTTGAGCCAAATAATTATTATATTTTTCATTACATATAATATCCTTAGATAGTTTATTACTTATTGTTATTATATTTCTTAACTTCTAATCACACATACCTGAGCCGACAAATGGATCTAATACAAGATCACCGTGACATATTTTAGCCATGTTGGCCATGATCAGTGACAATTTAGGGTCCATGCTTGTATTTCCTATGAACTTCCTGTCTTTTAAAGCAATCTGGGTGATCAGATGTCGCTGTCCATCACATATCTTAAGAAATTCATAACAAAAACACAAAAATATGAAATGAATATTATTTTTCCAACAGTCTTAGAAAACAAACAATTACTAACGAGGCACATTTGTTACAGACTTAAGGTATTATCCATACAATAACATTAAACTATGATCTTTAAAATTATTATACTTATAGTAATGAACTGATTTATCCCATCTAATACGACTACACACTTAACATGCATAAAATATTACACATTGATCTTTACAGCTATAATGAGTATGTAAAACCAAATACTTGAAAATAAACTAAAGTAAAAAATATTAGGCATGAGACAATTAGCGATACGAATCCACATGTACAAAGATACATTTACCATACGTAACAAGAATAGTACAAGCTAGCCAGTGGTGATTAAGATGACCAAGTCCTCTCAACAACAATTATCAATCATGGGTTCTGCATTAAGTATCCCTAGGGGTTTATTTATATCAATGCTTTTATAATATTGAAGATACAAGTAGACTTATGTTTCACCAACATAAGTAAATTTTATCATTAAACTTGTATAAAGCTATGATTAAAACAAGCTTTAGAATTTATTCTTGCCAGGAATATGGGCATTCAGACTTTTTTAGGTTTTTCATAATATTTTAGATTTAAACCATTTTGATAAATATGATAAATTATGCCAAGAAATATGAAATGCAAAATAAAGATGGGGTTCTGACTCTATTTTATAGTCATATTATGTTTTCTTTCATTGACTGAGGATAACAATTTGTGATATGCTTATCTTCTCAGCACAAAGTTCTAATTATCTAACAACTCTGAGCTTGATTGAAATTAAAGAAAACTCCACTCTGTTTAAATGGATAATCAGATATTCACTTGCATACATATTCATGAGATCTAAACATTGTCTAATTACTTGTGCTCTAGGCTAGCTACATTACCTATTACCTAATTCTTTTAACTGTATATGTGTACAGGTGGGGGCCAAATGGCACACGTCACAATCTTTTACAGTTACAATCAAAATTTATTTAAAATACTTTATTATCAATGTACAACAATGAAAGTGGCATCAAAACATGGGTTAAAAAGTCAGATTTTAATATTATTTAAGTTTCAATCTCTTCATTTCAAAAGAAAATGTTTAAGTAAATTTTCAATCTTCACTTCTCCATGTCATTGTCACTTGTTCACTCCAAATAGCTCATTTTAGAACTTCTTACTACTTCTTCATGACATTTAAGATAATTACATATTTATAATTTATATATTGCTAAGAAAATCTAATTTTATAGTATCCAATCTTCTTCCTTCGTGGAAGTATAAACTAGAAACTCAAACTCACATACTATGTCCTCCTATCACATCCTTAATTCAAAAAAATGTCAATAATTCCCTCTGATATTTATTAGTAGATTAATAATAACTAATAGAAAGAGAATATTTCAATTTACTGACTTCCATATAAGGTTGGCTTGTTCTTATGATAGGTTTTGAATTATTTGGCCTACAGATTCATTGTTGCTGACCTTGAGGCCACGTTGACCAGTTAAGGGAATTATTTACTCCACTTATAGCTTAGTTAGTAAACCAGTTAAATTACAGCACTTATAAGTCACTGTATATTTTTGCATATTTACTCCACTTATAGCTTAGTTAGTATACCAGTTAAATTACAGTTCTTATAAGTCACTGTATATTTTTGCATATTTAATCCACTTATAGCTTAGTTAGTAAGCCAGTTAAATTACAGTATTTATAGGTCACTGTATATCTTTGCATATTTATCTACTACTACCATCAATACAAAGGAAGTTGGATTTAGTTTTGTTGGGGACCGAGAGCAAAAAACAAGAGGTCAGATGTAAATGCTAAATTTCTTGTTTTTTTATTATATTTTTTATTTATTTATTGTTGTAAAACTCGTTAAAATGTAAAAATCAGAAACTCACTAGGTTAAATAAGAAAATCAGCAAGGCATGCACAGGAGCTTCTTGTACTTTAGTTTGTTTACTCTATCTTGAGCTGCATAATTTATAGTTTTATTACACAGTTTGAATAGTTTCATAGCTCAAAGAGCAACAAAACAATAAAATTAAATGAAACAGACAAACTGTTATGAGCTTTACACTATTTAGGATATATAACTGTAATTTTCTGTTACAATCTACAGTCATTCTAGAAAAAAATAGTAATTTTTTTGTTGTTGTTGTGGTCACAAAATTGGTTAAATAAAGTGAGCATGTATAGTTAGAGTACAGAATAATAACAAATAAAACAAAGTTATCATATTTACTTGACAGGTTCGAGAGGCTATGAAAACTGTAAGATGAAAAACTTCTGTTCTTGACATAACTTATACCTTCTGGAATATTTAAATCAAAAGAATGTACTTCACTCTGACTATCAAAGAAAATAACTTATACCTTCATACATTCATCAATGTCAAAATCTTATAAAGTTTGTCTAAAAAGTATTAGAGTAACTGAATAATTATAGTGATGTTTTGAGAAATAAATCTTTTTATTTTGGAATAAATTACTGTTTTCAATATTTCATGAAATATACTCTTCAGGTATTTATAAAAAGAATCTGTTGTTTAATGTTTAATGAAATGCTACAGAATTAGATAAAACGTTAAACAAATTATAGCATTGGTAATTATCAAATGTCATTGGCATAAGATAGCAGCAACAGAACTTCTATTATAAAAAATAAAATTTACTTCACACAACTAAGTAAACAGAGATGGCATGAATGCAATTTGTATTGTAAAAATAAATTTACTTCACATAAGTAAGTAAAGAGCTCCACCTCACCCACTGTCCAAAGAACACCTGGTAAGGGTTGTCAGGAACACTGTTTGGATCCAGACCATAGTACTCTATCAAGTGGAAAATATTGTCTGGGTCTTTCAGTTTAATAGGCCCACGTAGAGGAAGGAAATCTAAATCCTGCATTAAATCAAAATTAAAGGTTAAAATGTTCATATAAGTTTTATATTTATAAAACATCAATTCCAAAAAAGCTATGAATACAGTTCTATCCAATTACACACACTACTTATACTATTATATATAACAAGTTAGTAAATCACATCACTGGTACAAACTACAATTATATATACAATATTATATAAAACAAGTTAGTAAATAACATCACTGGTACAAACTACAATTATATATATATAC